TACCTACCATTCAGGGTGCCAATTTGAGGAGAGTGCAGAGGATTTGATCGGAAAGATTTGGATGAGTCTAATACCGATTTCGAAGTAACAGCAGCGAGGAAAACATACTGTTTGTTCTGATAAGAAAAGAACTGATTTTTTGGTGAGAACGTCAGACTCAACGTGGAGCCCTACATCAAGTGCTTTGAGGAGGTAGTATGCCCTGTGTCAAGAGAGTGACTGGTGGAAGACCCTTTGTCTGGCAACTGGACTCTGCACCATTCTACACAAACAGAAGAACCCAGTCATGGCTGTCACAAAATTTCTGTGACCGCATCACCCCTTACATCTGTCCACCTAAGTCCACAGATTGCAACACCTTGATTATAATGTATGGGGCCCAGTTGAGCGAGAGCCCAACAAAACGCCTTGTTACACTAAAGATGAACTGAAGACAAGGGTTATGGCAGCAATCACCAACTTAAACAGGAACATTGCCCAGAAGAAATGCAGGAGATTCCGAAGTCGTCTGGAGACCGTATTTGAAGATTTTATTGAATAAATTTACACTTTAGTATTTCAAAATTTTTTTTTTTTTTGTAATTTTAGCAAATATATCTGTAAAAAATGAGATATCAGTGTTATTTTCGTTTTTTGCGTAATTTAGACGACAATTTATCCATTCCAACTTTTATATATATATATATATATATATATATATATATATATAGAGAGAGAGAGAGAGAGAGAGATAGATAGATAGATAGATAGATAGATAGATAATATTAGTGGTCAATATATATATATATATATATATATATATATATATATATATATATACACACACACACACACATATATATATATATATATATATATATATATATATATATATATATATATATATATATATATATATATATATGTATAAATTCAAGAGGATGGAATCCAGGTAGAAGTCAATGTCCAGGACAGAGTAAGAATATAATATAAATGGCTTAAACACTAATATTCCATGGTTATAATTTATTACATTGGAATCGTAATCACGATCAATTCATCAGACCTACAAATTAAAAAAAATCGAAAAATTTTTCCGATTCCTTTTGAATTTGTAGGTGATTACGATTCCAATGTAATAAATTATAACCATGGAATATTAGTGTTTTTTATTATATATATATATATATATATATATATATATATATATATATATATATATATATATATATATATATACAATTAATGTTCATTATTTTTCTGTCGGTTGGAATTAAAAGTTATATTATTTAACATACAAAATACTCCCACTATTTTAGTAACAATTTAATAATTAAAACACTTATTTAAGAATAAATGATATATTGATTTTTGCATATTTTTTCTTTAAGTTTTTATATTTACACGAATCCTGTTTCCAGTTCGCACTGCCTTAAAAAGAACTATAAACAAATCACAAGGTCAAACGCTTCAAAGAGTTAGAATTTGGCTCCAGAAAGAAATAATTACGCATAGCCAGTTGTATGTTGCATGCTCAAGATTAAGAAATCCTAAGAAATTATTCTTCGCTGTTAAAATTTAAAAAAAAAAGAAATTTTCTTTAAAAAGTATTGCTTACTATGAAGTCATATAAAACTAAATTCAATTAAAGAAATTATTAAATCGCCAAGTGAGGTTTTTGTGAAAATATTTTTCAAAACAAATCAGCTTATTCAAAATTCATAGATTGGTGGGTGAAATTGAACGAAACGTAAGGCACAAAAATGTTAACGATAACTTCAACAATAGTAAATACTGTGAGCATTTCAAAAAGTGTCAGCGTGTTGCAAAAATTCTAGTTTTTAAATAATTTTGAATGCATTTTATCATTAATAGATATCCACAAGACATCAGTTTTAAAATGTTGCCTTCTTTTTGTTCATATATTGTCAGCATTTTACATAAAGTTCGTATTTTCAATATTGCAGGTTAAAAGATGCAAAATTTTCAACATATTTCAGTGAAATTTTCACTGTTCAATATTTTCAAAATAGTTTGGAAACAAGAAAACTTTAGTTTAAACTTACGGCATATGGTTTGGCTTTAGTTTATTGCTATTTTAATCTAAATATCCCAGTTATATTCTGGCTTCATAAATCAATCATGTGACAAACCTCATATATATATATATATATATATATATATATATATATATATATATATATATATATATATATATATATTATGGTTATGACTTCTTGACATTTTATAAAATAATTGATTTCTTGTATCAGAATTAGGTGAACATTTGTTAAAAATAATGAAGAAAGGTTTAATTCAGTTTATTTTTCTAAATGTCACCCCCAACGCGAATTTTCTGTAATCATATACAAGTATATAAGTACTATGACATTCGAGAGCCTTCTAGAGTTTTCTGGAACATTCTAGAATAGGGACATTTGTTCTTATCTTACTGTGAGGAAACTTTGATACACCATATATATATATATATATATATATATATATATATATATATTAGTGA